GATAACTTTATTTATCCCCATGAGGCAGTTGAGAGTACAGAGAGCGGCACATACAGTGAAATAGAATAAATGCAGGAAAAAGAACAATAATGATCATAATGATATGGTTGTCACACGAAAACAACTTGAGATATAGTGCAAGCGTGAAGATCCAGTCAAACATCCATGCAGGCATTTCAGCTTATTATGCAAACTTCCTTCATTCTTTGTCTCTTCTTTGGATTACCTTCCATCTGTATATTTGCATTACATTATCATTTAAATGAAGTTTTTCCCTCACCTGGTCTTACAGGACACCGGCTCTGACTGCATGGCAAACATCAAACAGAGCCCTGTTCAAACACAGACACAAAGTTTCAACAGCACACGTGAAACATTGGTCATAACACGCATCAATAACCAAGAGCGCTACCTGGGAAGATAAAGATGAAAAATGCGCTGATCCCTCCGATCACACTGATGACCTTGCTGATGTCTGGTACAAACACAGCGATGAGCAGCGTCGCGGTTATCCACAGGACCGTTAGCATGTAGCGGCTGCGGCTTTCAAAGTCTACCGTGACCACGCCGCTGCGTCTCTGTCGCCAGCTCAGCAGCAGGTCCTGGATCACTGATCTGAGGAGCAGAAACAGATGCGCTTAAACAATTTTCACGTAGCCACATACTGTCTTTTGTAATCGAAACATTGCACCCTGTGAAGACGATTTAGGTGCTCGCAGTTTGTGTCTTTGCCCTCACTTCACGTAAGAGTTTTCAAATGTGAAACTTTGCTTTAACTGAGAATCGTTTCATTTAAATGGAAAAGTGAGCCAAGTTAACAAGATTCAACTGAAGAGTTGCTGACCTGCCGAGCAGCAGGGTGATGGGATAGATGGTGATGATAGAGATGCCAAACAGCAGCCTCGCGATCAGCATTAGGACATCGCTGCTAGTGTACGACATTAAAATGTCAGGCCTCGCGTCCTTTCCAAATGTCAGGAACCCATAAACTCCTGCAACAGAGGGAGAAGTGTGAAGGTTTACAGTTACCAACAACTGCAGCTTATCTGCAGCCACACAAACAATGATTTATAATCATTTCACGAGTTATTTAAAAAAAAAAATAGATATAAAACTTGGGTAAAGCCACCTTGATGTAACTCATTGCTTTATGAGGTAATGGTTTTAATCCTTGACTTGAGTGTTTTTGGGGCATCACCAGCTTTTTTTATGAAACCCAGCATCACAATGAGTGAACCTGAATGAAATATGAAGGTTGTCCTGTAGAAGCAACTCTGAAGTCACCTTAAAATGCCTAAACAGGCCTATTTGTGGAGTTATTTTGAAGATTATTTTGAAATTAACTTTGTGGTCACTGAAATTCTGTTGATTTTGCAGAGTCACAGGTT